ATGCGTCCCCTGAGTTTACTGACTGCCCCCAAACTCTGCTTGCCCCCTTTCCCCCTTACCCCCCCCCCCCCTCTGTTTACCCTAACCTCCCTCAAGCCCACCTTCTTTTTAATCAGATTGGAGCACGGCCAGTCGAGTTGTCAACCCCCAACTACCCCCACCTCCCCTCCACTCACTCTCTTTCTCAGCTGCATGGAGCCACCCGGGTAGCCTGGTGTTATTGTCCGAGTCCCAGTGTTGATGCTTTTAGGCCCAAAGATCTGCTCACTGAAGGCCTGCTACTGCTTGGACGCAAATAAAACCAGGCCAGGACTGAGTCCCCACATGCAGAGCACATACCTCTGCAGCAAACCCCTCCAGAAACCCAGTTTCTCTTAGAGGGACTGATAAATAAGGCTGCACAGAAAATGGAAGACTCCAGTGTTATGTCTGAATAGTCTTTGACAAGACACTCACGTTGAGGGCTATTCATGTTTCTTTAGCAGTCAGGCGCAGGCATTTCAAAAGAGCCTCTGTTGAGAGATCAGGTTGTTTACCAGGTTTAAAACCTCCACAAGGTGTTTTGTTTCGATGCCATTTTGCATCCCACAATTGAGTTAAACCGAATAAAAGGCCACAAAATGTCTGTTACAAAATAGCCACGTAGCTACATCAAATAAAAACAAGTAACTGTCTTCTCCTTTTTTTTTTTTTCTTAACATTACATTAACTTGCTCTGAAGAGACATGTTTTGTCCGGCAGGTTTGTGAAGTTGCCTTTTTCAGCTGTACAGTAATGTGAAGTAGATGCTGTCACATTGTCTAAACTCCTAACACCACCCACATGGAGCTGTTCATCCCTCTACCTCTTATCCCTCGTGTTTCAGTCTGTCTATGATCCTTTTGGTTGTCCACTTCCATCCTCTTTACCCCCGTCTCTTGTTGTCCGTTCTCGTCATAGAACTTAAGGTACTGAACTATACTGAAAAACCCAAAGACTCACAGTATTTCTACTCCCACCATCCTCTCATACCCCAACCCCTCCACCATGGCCACATCATGTTGTTTCCTCATTCTCTTTTTCTTCACTCTTTTGTTGTTTTTTTTCTCTCTATTAGAGACCTGACCTTTGAGTCCAATTGCTTATTAGTATATGAAAAGATATATAAATATATATAAATGTATATTCACAAATGTTTTAAACCTTCAAAGTGCCTACCATTTGGAAATGTACTTGCTCAAGGTGAGCATGTGGCAGGTGTGTACACACAGGAGGGGTGTAAACGACTTGACTGGCATTCTGTGAGCATGGATGACTGTAATGGTAACTTTTTTTTAGTCTTACAAAAGCTGACAGTATTGTACCTATAAGTTGAAACAACACTACTGAATAAACATTGTGGCCTAATATCCAACTGTGTCTGCCATCTTGTTTTAAAACCACACTTGTTTTTTTCCCTCCCTGTTTAGTTAATTAAGTGAATTTTTTAATCAATGAAATATCTTGGTAAATCACCATTGAATTTTGAGTTTGAAGCATGTAGCACCTCTGTTGTGACTTAAGTTACGGGTCTTTCAAGTGTTTTGCGATTACCAGTTGATGGAAAACTCCCAGTGTGACTTTGTATTTGTGTGAAATATGTGATTTGTGTGAAAATTAATTGCAAACAGTTTATAGAATGCATTAAGTTGTTTATCTAGCAAAAATGCCAATTATTACTTCATTGCAGCTTGTCAGATTTGAGGGTTCGCTGCTGTTGTCTGTCTTGGATAATTGTAAATAGGAAATCTTTGGATTTGTAACTGTTGGTTAGACAAAACAAGCATTTTTAAGATGTTACTATCAGCTTTTGTAACATTGAGGACAATCTATTTGAATTATGCTAGACTAGACTAAGCAAAAAAAATCGACTCTTAGCTCTGACTTTAAACGGACAGACATGAGAATGGTATAAATCTTTTGCGAGAAATCAAATAAGCATATTCCCCAAAATGTAATAAGTATCAGTTATTGTATCACTTGTGTTGTAATTAAGAGGAGTTCTTTGCTTTTAGTCAAATATATTAACTTTATTTTTTTTACAAATACCTTTGAGAAAGATTCCCTTTTTTTGTAAAACGTTGAGAACAGATAGTGTAAAAGCTTTGGTAGATTTTTTTTTACTTTGGACAGCTGGCTCTTTCCCCCTGCTTCCAGTCTGTATGCAGAACTCTGCTTTTCATTTGTGGCTTTAAGTTCATATGTTTACTATTATATACCTTTTTATTATAAATACAATAAAGCAGAGATTTCTCCGGGGATCTATTACCGAGTGTTTTTGTCTGAAAAGTTGAGAGCAGACGCCTTGCTGCACGGCTCATTAACTACTTTAAAAAATGTCTCCAACAAAGAGCTCATTTGGCTAATTATTCAAAGGTAAGCCTTTCTTACTATGGTTACCCTAAAGCCAAAAATACCCCACAGCAATGCTGTCATCAAAAAAAGTATCTCTGTATCTATAAATAGAACACCGAACATTTAAAAAGTAGGACTGCCTTTAATACTCAGCAGCACATTCGCTCTCTTAACATTACTTAAAGTCAAAGGGGATTATCAATGTGCAGATGAGTAATGTTTATGTGGTAATGTGCTCCACCATATCATTTTAGTGCCTTAATCTCGCCCTGTTACTGAGCTAGATTAGAGTAACGGTGGGGATTAATCTCACACAGGATTGCACATCTTGAGTGGTGCCATAAGTGGAAAGAGAAACCAGAGAGGTTGACATGTTACTCTGAGAAAACTCTAAAGAGGGCAATTTTATTCTTGTTAACTGGTTTAATTATTCAGTTATTACATATAACACGTCAGGGCTTGCACCCTTTTGTGCTGATGAAGTCCATCTCTCTAAAGAGTTGCAGCAATACTAACATGCATAGAATATCTGCTATTTCTATGACATTTGATCCATACTGACTCGTGATTTTACAGGCTGCTTCATCACAATGGCCTTTACTCATATTCAAGAAAGCCCTAAAGACCTCCACGTGTGCCTATACCACCATCTATTTGAAGATGAGAAAGAGAGGAACTGAACATAGATGCATCAGTGCATACTCCAAAAGTGTGTATGTGTGTGTCCGGATAAGTGTGTTAGTGTGTCCATGTTCATGCATTTTGTCTCTTCGTGTATCTAACCTAAGGGGAGGCAGATCACCGGGGACAGAATAAAGCTACCTCTGGTTCACGACATGTTGTTTTAAGTGAATACTCCTCTTTCTACTCTTTTCTAAGGAATCGGGTCAGTATGTTCTAATATGGTATGTGATATTTGCCCAGAGGCAGTTTATACAAGACACCCCACCAGGATAGGGGGGGAGGTGGTGCAGCAGGGAACCAATAGGAGAAGCCATTTATATTGAAGCCGATGCAGTAACCAACATTTCCCAATCTGTCTGTTCCACTCTATGCGGCTATGTTGCACGTGTTTGCTCTCCAGTTTGGGTCAAAGTGCAACCAGGATTTATATGCTGTTTGTGTTTTGTTTAGGTTGATGTAAGGGGTCACTATGTGTTTAGGTCAGGAGAAAGAACATGAATGTAAACCCACACACTCAAAGATAAAGGTGGATGGCTTTTAGACTACAATTTTAAAACCGTTTCTTCTTTCTTTTACTCTTTTGCTCACTTTCTAGCTTTCCCTTTGTCTCTTTTCTTCATTCTCTGCCTTTGTAGCTGCAGAGCTAATTCAATAAAGCCACCAGCCATCAACTGGTAGTCAGCGCCAAACCATGCAGAAACGTCAAGGAAATGGCGTCCAAGGTAAACAGGCTGTCAGGCCTCATAAGAGCTCATGGCTGGAGACTAAGCCTGGGCCCGACTAGGGTGGACACGTAGCACCTCGCTGACCCAAACACAGAGTACAGCAGCATAGCAAGCAGACACAACACTGCACCGCATAACGCCAATGCACATGCACAAGCCTGGCAAGTACAACTGTGATAATTACAGTATGACGAAGCTCAAGTCTCGGTCCAAGCTCCAACCTCAAGTCTATATTCTTGCCTGGTGCTGGTCATCGTTGTCATTGCCACAAGCCTCCGTCTCAACTCTACCAGCTGCAACCACTTGTGCACGGTGCTTTACAGCTTCAAACAAAGCAGTTTGACTGTGACACTGTGACTGTGGCACCAACTCAGGGGTCAGCAGCCTTTACCATCAAAAGAGACATTTTCCGGCCCCCCAAAAAATCTAGAGCTGCAAAACATATTTGTGGCTTGTACAAGCATACCGGTAAGCCAACAGTGTTGGTGGAAAGCAAACTGAATTGGTCTCTGCTGTTAAGACACTTGGCACTGGCAAACCCCTTCTCTGTCCTGACTGAGTCAAACTAAGCGTTCTTTTGCACAATGTCCTACTGGATTTAAGGTCTGACTGGTCAAATGGGACAGGGCAGATAACAGCAT